GTGCAGTGGTAAATAAACCATAAACATCTGCACATGAATTTATGGATTTACTTCTGTGGTGAAGGTAACACATAAAAATGTATGATTTACATGAAATCAATACTAAATAGAGCCCATTTTGCATTAGATAAAGCAGTGAATCTCTTGGGATACAGTATGTCTCCATAAGCTTGTCAATTTCCTCCCTTGGGATTTATGCATATCTTTAAGGGTAAACCTGCAGTCATTCCTTTTAAGATGCTAGGTAGGCTCTGTTTGCATAGAGTAACATTCAATTTATCATATTTAAATTATGTTTAAAGACTGTAGAGACTGCCAGTACATTAAAATTGGTCTCTGTTCTATTTTTTTCAATGGTGAAGAGATTTTTCTGTATTCAACTATACTTTCAGTACTGAGGCAATTTCTCAGGTCAGACACTTACAAAGCCATATTACACAATGCTTTACTACGTGGATGATGTTCCATTATGGGATGTTTTATAATACATAAAATGTTTTTAAATAACTGAAAAGGTCAGTTTGTGGGCCTCGCAAGAAGAGAAACATCATCAACATTTTTAAGAAGTCCTTCGTAGCTGCTATTGAATCCTAAACTGACTGTTTAGGATTCAATGGACTTAGTGTGACTGGCAAAATTTGACAAAGTTTGGATGAAAATTTGCTAGAGATAAAGAAAAAAAAAAAGGGAAAAACTAATTAAAGATATAACAACAAAGAGATTCAACTTAAGTAAGGGGTTTAAAATTATTTATACTGACCCATGTTTTATTCTAAACACTGCTCCTCCTCACCCCAGGACCAAAATCCTAGGGGAAATAATGCATATATAAAGTGATATCAAACACAAGACAACAAATTGCAAAGAGTAATAGGGATATAAGCTTGGGCCTACATTGATAAATAAAATGCAAGCATACTCTACTGAACCAGCATGCACTTAGAGGCATAAATCAAATACTGTTTCATATGTGAATGCTTCCAATTGCTTTGTTATAAAGCTTTAAACTCCAAGTCTTACTAGACTGTATTTCTTTTTATAGTGGGATTTTTCACCCCTTCTTAAACCCACACTTCTGTAACACACTCTCTTAGATACACACATACACCCGCATAGGGTCTTGGCATGCATAGCAGCAGCTATTTTTCTTGTTAATGTAGCATGTCGAATTTGCAGGGCGGTGGCGTGCAAATGAAAGGTTGCACGTCTCACTCGCTTGGCAATATGTATTTGATAAGAGCTGTAAATCAACTAGTGTAGCAGAGCAGAGCCTGCAGGGACAGACAAAACATGTGTTAATGGAGAGAAGCTCTGAATGTCTTTGAAATACTGTCTTGCTATGGAGGATTGAGAGCTAGACTGACTGACCAAAACAGAGGGCCGCAAAGTATGGACAATCAAAATGAGAGGTGTACCTCTAACAAAAAAAAAAAAAACATGTTTTGTGGATCCGTGCATAAAATTGCAGAAATAACGTCTTAATTATTCATAGGAGATTGACTTTAAATTTATGAACAATAGCAAATTTTACATTAGACCGTGACAGAGATGGAAAAAAAAAAAAAGAAAAAAAGAAAGAGCATCTGCTTCTTGTGAATGCACTGTACGTATATCCCATGCACCTTTTCTACCTTTGGCACCTTCTTCTTATCTTTTTGACTATTTGAGCTGATTTAACAAGTACATTTCTCCACTGTGAGTTCAATAAAGTCAATCAATCAATTCTTGACTCTACCAAGTACAAATGCACTTTGACCCCAAATGTTAGGATTCACATTTATAAGCCTTGCATTTCAAAGTAAGAACAAGTTTTGAGTAACTAACATTTAAGCGTTGCTTTTCTACTCATCTGATACTCTGGCATGTTTAATTTGATGTCTAGTGGAGTCAGGTGGCAATTACTCTTTTGGATACCATACATTTCCTGTGGCATGAGGGTTACAACTTGAAAATGTGATGCCTAAGCTGAGCCAAAGGTTGTTTATGTTGAAGATAGCAGCTTAGCTTAGGTGAGTTTCACTGGTCAATAGTTTTTAACTGAAATATGTTTGACTTTGAGCTGACTGGTTTTTTATTAATAAACTCATATTTTGAATGGAAGTTGTGGTTAATCTATCCCATACATGCACTGAGTGAACTGTTTGATCATGATTTGAGCTTGATCCATATTTTCATTTGTTGTTCTAAAATACAGCCAGTTGGGTGTTTGCTCACAAAACAATCTATGACAGTTAGAATATTATTTGATTAAATAACATCAACAGGCATCAGGCAGATAAATCAAAAACATAATTCTAATTACACATGAATACATGTTTCTACATGTAATTTGATAATAGATAATATTACAAATGGGGGGGTCATTAAATAAATCATAACTGCATAAAAAATTTTATGATTTAGATTACAAGTTTGAGTTCAATATGATGTTGTGTCAGCTCTTCATCTAACACTGTTATTTAAATTAATACAAATTCTTAAAATAATAAAATATTTTATTTAACAGGCATCAGGTAGATAAATCAAAAACATAATTCTAAATATTCATGAATGTTTCTACAGTTAGTTGGTTTAGTCCTTCAAGGAAAAACATCTCACTTACAATAGTCCATCTAGGTTACTTAATAAGCACACCTTTGTATCAATGTAGCTCACCTGCAGCCTTTCTAAGCTTCCTTTTATCATAATTGTACCAAAGATGGGCTGTGTAAAGAGGTGCACAGAATGACTGTATAGAGGTGCCCTAGATGATTCAAATTGCATTTCTTTCACCTTATCTGTACAAGATTAAAACTTGTGTGCTAGTGTATTTGCCTGAGCATTTAATGTTTTACATTGTCTATTTAGGTCTTCATCCTCTTACAAACCCTCTGTAGATATTTTATTGAGGTATTTTGTTTTCTTTGTTAGCCTTAACACTATGTGCCTTAACAAATATTAAGCAGCAGTTGAAGCCCTAAAGTACTCAAGGCAAGGCAAGGCAAGGCAATTTTGTTTCTATAGCCAATTTCAGTACATATACATTTCAAAGTGCTTCACATGAATTAGATAATAAAATAGAAGAACAATAACAGCAGATTAAAAGCAAAAACATTTACCGAAAGCAAATAAATCGGTTTATCAGACTGAAAACACTAAACCCCTCCAATACAAAATAAAAATAAAAGGGGATATTATCCTCAAGTCTCACTCCATTTCCAACTTTTAACATTGCAAACACACTGTTTCTCCATGTGACTAGCATTTATTGCTGAGTGTACCCATTTGAATCAATTTCATAAACACTTTTCCATTATTTCTTGATTCAAGACTTTGGAAGAATTTAAAAAGCAAATGTCAAAATTAAGGTATTTTTTGTTTTATGATTAGCAATAATTTCTTTAAGAGTGTATTTACACATATCTGTACCAGCTTAGCTTTAAAGCTCAGCCACTGGCTATCTGAAGATACAACTAAATTTGTTATCTTATCCAGCAAACACATATCAACACTTTCAGACACATTACAAGGCAATGCTTTTGATCTAATATTTGACACTTTTTACAGCTTTATCTGTCATGATCTTGGTGCTGATGGCTGGATTAATTGTAAATTTATTCACATGTCTAACTCTGCCCAGTTTCTCATTACTACTCATCTGATCCACCTGCTCCTGCCTCTTTTTAAGCTGCTTGGTCCCAGCCATCAGGGCCAGATTATTCGAGCCACGTGTGAGAGTACTCTAGCATACCCAGTGTGTTTCTGATTTTTTGATCCTGACCATTTTCTGCCACTGGACTTCTGATTTTTGCTTGTCCCTGTTCTGATCTGTTTTGCCTGACCTGTCTTTGGACTGATATTTGGATTCTGCCTGCTAACAACCTTGGATCTGTCTCCTCATCCCTGCATCCCTGCTTGGATTTCCCTTTGGTACCTCTTCTGATCTCTAATCTTCTGGCCTGAAAATCTGCTCCTGCATCAACACTGACTTTGGATTTTCCCTCTGGATACTTCTGCTCTTCCTTTGCTGGCTTCTGCTTGTCAGTCAGCTGTGTTTCACTCCTGGAACTCTGTGGGCAGCTCCAATCACATGCTGTGGAGAAATCCTCTGGCTGGATTCCACTCCTTCCTCTGGGCTCTGACTGAACTTAAAAATCAGAGATTCTAGTCATCCTGCTTTGTTTGAAATCACTCTGGTCTGTCTGCCTGAAATCTGTGTCCTACATTCCGAGTCCTGACATTATCTTGGATAATAGGGACTAACAAAACAGAGAGCAAAGAATCAGATAACAAACAAACAAAAAAAAAACATGTAAAAGAAGCTGCATAGAAAATGGAAATTAGAGTAGCTAACTTTGCAGTTACTAACTTTAAATGTTAACTTCATGCTGTACTTGCTAATTTTTAAATGCTTGAATGAGATGTCATCTATCCCAGAGCATTTTTTTGGCAGTTTTGTGATTGCTTTATGGACCTCATGACACAAAATTGTATCTGACCTGTCTGTCGTGATCGTAGCGATGCGTGCTGGCCTAATTGCTCACCCCATTCACCATTGTAACTCTGCCCGGTTCTTCATAACTGCTTATCTAATCACCTGCTGCTGCTTCTTTTTATATGGCTCATTCCCAGCCATCCATCGTGTCCAGATTATTGAGTCTCTTGTTGTAGTGCTTGTTCTGGGGGACCAATGGAGAGAGGTTTTTTTTTTTAGCATTCTGTAATGTTTCCGATTTCCTCATCCTGATCTGCCTCTTATCCACTGAGCATGCCCTATTCCTGTCTTGGCTCAGTGGAGAGAGACGTTTTTTTTAGCATTCCGTGGTGCTCATGATATCCTGACCTGTTCTGCCTCTCAACCACTGGGCATGCCTATTCCCAACTGAACCTTCTGAACTATTTTAGAATTCCTGGAACCCTAAACCAGCCTGTTCCTGTTGTCATCGGTATCCCTGATCAGGGTACAGACTCCTAAACCTCTGAGCCTTCCTGTTCTGATCTGTTTCACTGATCTGTCTCAGACTCCTGCATGTTCACCGGGGCTGCAGCATCTGGGACAAACTAGGCGGCACCCGCTGCAACTCCTTGATAGCCCAGCGGCTGGACCGTACCTTGTTCTATGGAGATGGACTGAACTGTTAAACAAGGTAAGTGATCATATGGATAATCATCCTACTTCCGATTATCTTGATCATTAATCTGTGTTTTTCTCCAACCAGGGTTTGAGTGATGGCCGGTGCACCGCCTTAACCGCTGACACTGCGGATCCACAGCCTGATCTGTATTTTGATACACTTTTAGTTTTCCCACTCACCTTGAAAACTGGGTCCTTCTGTCCTGCTTCATAAAATTATCAGCATCAAGCATACAAGAATCACTCAGTACATAATTACATAATCTTCTGTAATGTTGCAGCCACAGCTCTAAAATATTCTTTTTAACAGAGATACCTTCAACAACAGGTGGTCAAAAAGCTCTAGTTGTCATGGTCCCAACTTCTTTCTAAAACTCATACGGTCAAAATTCATCTGAATTGTATTTCAACCACTCATTCAGATTTAATTGCATGCTCATTTCTGATTATTAAATAAGGTACATTCTTATACTGTGCATTTCTAACCCTGTTGTGCAGATAAGCTGGCCCACATGTTGGCCTCCCTGCCATTATCCACTCTTTAAAAGCCTTACATGCCTTTTGAATAAAATTCAGTTAAATGGGCATACCAACTAGGTTTAACTTTCTTTTATTCTGCATATAGATTAACTTGAATATATGAGTACTTTAATTGCATTCTATCATACAAACAAGAAGTGGTGAAAAATGTTCACAGTTTTCGCATTAACTTCACACATAGCTGCTTCTCTGGGCAGGTAGATGTCTCCTAATATATTTGCACAATAGATACAATCTACTGCTGTGTATTAGAACTCCAGTCCATGCAAAACCTTTTCTCATAATAATAATCTTATGTCTCAATTAAAACATGATAATTTATTTCCATCCCAACTGTATGTCGATAGGCAGACTCCAGGGTGTCCTGATACCTCATTGAGGTAAACCAACATAAGTCTCTCTAGGACCTTCATGATGTGGGATGTTAAAGCAACTGGCCTATAATTTTAGAGGACTGATCTTTGGTGCAGGAACAAGGCAGGAGGGCTTCCACATTACTGGATCTATTTCCTGGATCGGGTTTAGGTTGAAGAGGTGCTATACAATCCCACATAGCTGCTGGAGCCTCATTTTGATTAAGTCTTTTTACAGTAGCTGCCTCTTCACATGACATCTTGGTTGATGATTGGTTAATATTGTAGTTGGTTGAAAACTGCTTTATAATGCACTTGGTTGACAGCGCTGGTAGAGTTTTTTTTACCCTTCAAAGTTTCTGCTACGTAACCTTTTATTCTATACTATAATTCAGAGTATTGTAACTATTGTTTTTAGATTAGACTGAACTCTTCCGAACATGTTCCTATACCCTGATAATGTTTTATGTACCTAAATCAATGTATTTATATTGTGTACATAACCGTTTATCCATAAATGCAAATGGAAAATCATAACTGCAAGTACTCAATAAATTTTCTAAAGACCACATCAGTTTCTGCCTTTACTTGACCCATCTACAGTGGGCCATACCATACAGGCTCACTGTTGTGAATTTACACCCACCTTGTATTCCTAAATGATTTGTTTAACATTTATGTCATCTGAAGGATAGAATGACAAAAAAAAAAAATCCAAAATCAATGGAGCTCTGATATTTTTTTTTCATGAATACAGAAATAAAAAAAATAAAAGCAGTACAGTGTAATCATACATCTAGAGAATACAGACAATTTGTCAACCAATCAAAAATATTAATTAAAAGAAAATTGTTTCATTATCCTGCACACTTACTTACAGCATCAAATTGTACTTTTATTTTGTATAAATGCATTGGAGGTAGCAATAGGTATTGTGTGAGGAGGTAAGACTCTACTGTATGTTTAATTTCACTGACCAAAATAAGGCTACATCTACTTTGATGGTTTACGACTTCACAGTAAAATGAAAGTGTTTATCAATCTGACTGGCTTCATTTTCTGTTTGTATGGGTGCTTTGCAGGCATAGCAGGAGCATGTAGAAGGTGTGTTTACCCAAATGGCAAGAGCACTAGGGGTCTATTTTGACAAGGTGAAGGTAATGCTATCATTACTGTGCTCTGTGCAAAAATAACTCTAATATCCCAAAAGTACAAATAACCAATACAGGTTTGAGATAATGCTTTACGAGGCACATTTACATTTAACGATTGACCGGACTGTCCAGGTTTACCTTAATGAACCTTGAATCATGAAGGTAAAATTGATGTGAAGAATGAACATAACTTGTATGAACAGAAAAAAAAAACATGTACCAACACTCTTGAAAATACATTTGACATTATCATGTTGGTAGAGAAAAATAGGCTGATATTTGGAGAAACATACTGAGAGGCTCTACAGTGTGTGATACTTATTTCTGGTAAAAAGTAATAAGCACCCTAGACTGGCGCTAATGCTCTTGTTTAATCACACACCCGTATGTCTTTTCTCATTGGAGGGTAAAAAAGTGTCGTTTTTAAAACATACCTTGAGCACTTAAAATCTTCAAATTTGATTTTAACCAAGGTTCTTTTGGTTTGAATGTTATTCTCATATGTCTAATGCATCAGTGCTCCATGAAAGGCCAATAACTTTATTTATAAAAGGTAAACAGATTTTGCAATGCAAAACAACATTAACAAAACTGTCACACTAAACTACCTTATAAAATCACATATGTACGTACATAAAACAGCAGTTATTATTAAAAAAAACTTATTGATTTGTAAATATGATATTTTATATAAGTTTTTAAAAACAGAAGATAGTGTTACTGTAAGTGCCTGTGTGTGTAAATATAAAGTGAGGATAAAGTTAGGGAGAAATAGAACAGTAATACAGCTCTTAGAGTGTATGTTATGAGATATGATTTTGTTATCAAGTCAAGTCAGTTATGCTGTGCTGTCTTGCTGAGTCCTATAATAAACCAATTTTAGAAAACTGCTCTTTATATTGTTTGTCGCTACAAAGTGCTTAAGAAAATGGAAGGTTTTTGATTTAGTACTGATCTAAAGATATGAGTTTATACTTTTTTATATATTTAGCTTGACAGTGTTTTTTATTTCTATTCATCTCAGACTTCTTTGCGAAGAGGTCTATTTGAGGGGGGTCTGTTCGGATCCTTTTAAGACATTTAGGGTCAGAATGAGGTCATCTGTTTTTCCTAGAGAACGATGGTCTTAAGCCTTTTGGAATATACTCACATTAGGAAGACGTCCAAGTACCGGTAGTAAAATTATTTTCAGACAACAAGTTCTGGTAATTTCTGAAGTTAATAAAGTAGGAGGACTCAAAATGTCCTTTCCAAGAGTGACACTTAAAAACATTCTATCTATTTAGAACTTCAAGGCTGCACTACTGTAATACTTTTTATTATTCTTTAATACAAGGTAGTGACCAAAAAGGCAGGTAATTATTGTCAGTTTCTCTAACATTTTGCAGCAAAGTTTTTTCATTTAAATTAAAAAGACATTGTATTTTTTTTTTCCTATTTTAACTTCCCTTCATTGGTTGCCTATTTAATCTAGAATAGAATTTGAAATTCTTCATTGCACACATATAGTATGTTTGTTAATCATAAAACCCTACAATACATCCAATTTGATTGTTCCATACTGTGTATTCCTAACAGAGAAGTTCATTATCAGACTGCAGGTTTAGTAGGAGTTTCTTGTCCCTTAAAATAGAATGGAAAGAAGATCTGTCATTATTAGTTCCCTTTTTTGTGGAACTAGCTATCACTTTTATTCTGTGTGCAGACAAGTTTTTGTACTTCAGGCAAATATCTTCAGATAATGTGTTGCAAACTAACTGGAGTCATATAAATACACCAAATTTTGTTGAATTAAAGGTACACTATGCAACCGGTGTTGATTTTCCAGCGAGACTCCCCCCAGAGGGCGAAAGTAAAAGTGCACTGTCGTAAATATGCACAGCTGTTCTCCTGGTTTCTCCGTCAAGCCAGGCGCGGTTGTTTTGAGCTTAGCAGACAGGCGAACGCAACGAATGACTAATGCTGCGTTCACACCGCAGCTGGCGCGACAGAAGCAGCGAGTTTACATGCAAAGTCAATGGTTGACGCGCGTCAAGGCGCAGCAAAGGAGCAGCAGGCCCAGCGCGTCTGATCAGCTGAAGCAGGGAGAGAGACACAGCGCTGATGATCAGAGGCTATGATCTCTCCTCTTAAACAGTTTATTGACGCCTAAATTAACTTAAAATGCAGAAATCTGCCGGCAGAATATGCAGTTTGGATTATTTAGATGAAAAACACCTACCAGCTGCCGCGGTGAACCGCGAGGACGTGACCTGGCCAGAGGCTGCTGATGAAGGGGTTCCTTCTGTCGCCGCACCGCTGGTATGTGGGGGTCTGAGCGGCTCCGACAGAAAAAATATTGAAGGCAGGATAATAATCTGAATGAACTGACGGCACTGATTACGTTTTCAGGTGTATTTTCTCATTTAAACACATATTAAAACTACTTTATTTCAAATGATCACAGCAAATATAGCTGCAAGGCAGAGAAAGGATAGTGAAGCTCCGCCCAACGCGCGTCAGACACACTTTTGCACCGCACAGCCAGAGCAGCAAAGCTGGCTTCAGCTGCGCGTCAGAACTAACTGGTACAAGCAGCAAAAATGAAGCAGCAGACACGATTTTGCTGCTTTTGCTGCGTGAACGTAGCATAACTGCACAAGGATCGCCACTGTGCTAGCAACGAGAATGCTTTTAACTGGGGGGTGTAGCAGTTCTCGGCCGTAAAGCAAGACTGACTCTCACGAGACTTCTGAGCCTGTGGGTGCGGGTCGGTGCTCCTGCAATTGCAAGTGCAGTATTTCCCCCACAGACCACCAGGGCGGCCGAGAATACCTTTGCTCAACCTGAAATGACTCATTTAATCATCCAAAACGTTATGGAACACATTAATTAACTGAAAAATGTTGCATAGTGTGCCTTTAAGTTGAATTCACCATAAAAAATTTTTAAAAAAAGACTTGGCACCTGTTGGGTTAATTAATTGTACATAAGTTATTCTACTTTAATCATATTACTTTAATCATATTATACTTACACATTTTGTTATCTCTATCTTACTCATATTACAAAGAGTGTTAAAACATTTAGTTTTGTTTGCTGTGTCATTAATGTTTTTTAAGTCTGTGCAGGAGGGATGCTGACTGCGACTGCTGTTAACAGATGTCGTTAAGGGTGTGGAGGAGAATGGAGAACTGTGCAACTAGATAAGGAGAGGGGTTCTCCTTATCCTATGATGTTGTATGATGTTGTATGATGTTGTACGAAAATTCTGGTTTCAACTGGGTTCTGTTCCCTCCCCCTTTAGCGGTTGAAACCACATTGTAATCAGGGCGTTTCTTCAATAAAGGGCTTGGAGAGCAGATACTGCTTCAGAGTGGGTTTGAAGTTGTAACTGAATGCAGTTTCTGATCCCCTCTCCTTGCAAGTAAAATATACTAAATTCTCTGTGTCATTCTTTGTGCAGGTTGCTGAATAAGGTGTTTGGTGTTCAAACCTAACATTAATTGGTCCTTCGAGCCGGATTGCAAGATACCCGACGACCCCCAGCAGGTGAGTGAGATCCAGATAAGCCTGCGGCCGCAGCAAAGAGACCCTTTACGGGACTGGTCTCTCCCTTACAAGCTGGGGTCCGACGGTTGAAGCATTTCGAGGACGCAGAGAATTGTGAGTAGTTTTTCTTT